CGTGACATTGCGCCGGGCCATCTTGGCCCCAATTTGCTCCCCGCGCCGCCCCCCCCCCCCCGGGCCGGCCCTGCCCTCCACCCTCCTGCCCCGGCCCCGCCGCAGCCCCCCCCCCCCGCCCTCACCCAGGGGGGATGGGTGGCGTGCCTCGCGCAGGAGGCGGCGCCGACTCGGGCCGGCGAGCTTCCTCTCGCCGGGGCCGGGGCCCCGTTTGCGCTCTGGCCGCTCCGGGCCTGCGGACTCTCTCGCCGCGTCTCGGCCTCCTCTGTGGGCTTGCCGTTCCGCCGGGCCTCCCCAGTCCCCCTGGTGGACAAACGGAGGGTCAGCTGGGGGCGGGGGGCGGGGGGCGGGGGGCGGGGGGGGGGTAAGATGACGGACAGTTCCCGGCTGACGGACAGAAGAGGGCAGCACATCCCTCGGGGCGGGGCTGCTCGCTCGGCCCAACGGCCGACTAGACTAGACAAGACGCCCGGGCACAGGTCGGGGGCAGGGCGGGGGCAGGGGGGGGGGCGGGGGCGGGGGCGGGAGAGATAGCTCGAGAAAGAACGATGGGGAGGGCACCCTGCGGCTGGCCGGGTGGCTGGGCCGCCGCATGCTTGAACAAAGACCGAGGCCAGGCGCAGGAGGGAAAAGGGAAAAGAAAACAAACTCCGGCCCATCCACACAGCCACCCCCCCAGCCCCAGCCCCCTCCCCCAGGGGAACAACGAGGGGGGCACCTCACCGGGCGGGACGGGGGGGGGGGGCAACATGAAAGCAAGGGAAGGAGGACCTGCGGCAATGAGCCGATGCTGTCCCCCAGGCTCGGCCGTCGCGCGGTGGGCCCCCGCCACCAAGACGCCCTGGCCTGAAGGAGGCGCCGAGGCCCCCCCCCCTCCGTCCGGGGGGGGCGAGCCTAGCCACATCACTCGCTGGGAAGCCGGGGGGCTCGAGGACCGGGGGCCGGGGCACTGGTATCCGGCCCGCCCGAGAGGCGCGCACGCGCCCGTGCCCAAGAGAGCGGGCCAACGGCGGCTAGCCCGGGCGCGGGGGGGGGGGGGGGGAAGGCGGGCGGGGCCCGGCAGGCCCGAGGGGATGTTCCGCCTCTTTCTCGGGGCATCGTTCCAGCGCCCCGCCCCCGCCCCCCCACCCCGGGGCGCGGGTGCGCCGCCCGACCGCAATATGTGCCGGGGCCCGGGGGAGGGAGGCAGGGCAAATTATGGCCAGCGGACGGGTCCAGGGGCGCGCGAGCTCGCCCCAGCCGGGTGCCGCCCGGCGCCGGCGGGCGCGGGGGGCGGGGTTGAAGCATCGAATGAGGACGGGGGACGCGCCCTCTCCAGGTCGGACCGCGACAAGCCATGCCGACACCGCCTCGCCCAGGCCAGCGTCTCGTAGGAGCGCCAAGCGGCCTCAACAAGAACAAACGACACCGCGCCGCCGGGGCGGGATGGAGGCGCATCCGCCGCCCCCATCTCCCCCGCCCCCCCCCCCCCC